GCTCAAAAATTAACATGTTATGAGATCACGTTTTCCTTCAGTTATGTGAATAATTCCCTTATTTTGACTGTGTATCAGTAGAAACAAAGACTACAAAAGATCTGCATAGCCCATAAATTCCATAATATTTTTTAAATTTTAGTCAAATGAGAGATGAATCAATTTTCTACCATGATAAGCCAATCATTTCAATGCTACTAAAGTTAACATGGCATGTTAATAGTATATCTATGCACAGTTGAGGAATATGTCATTCCAGTACTTGCTTTAAAGCCTGTAATAAGTGAAAAGAATCTTGATTTTCCAGTTTCATTGACAGAGGCATGTATAATTTCATACAAGTTTCTTAATGGGACACCTACAATGGTGTTTTCTGTTTTCCTAAGAAACAGAGGCACTAAGATTTTTTTTTTTTCCCCTTGTTATCTCCGAGGGCAGTAAGTAAAGCAAACCTGAAAATTGTGGAGAAAAGAGAATATTTTTATGTAAGGAGATATGCCATACAACTGTGGTTTACAATTTGTTCATTACTATGAAATCTGATAAAATTTTATTCCTTTTTTTAATATTAGCGCTTTCGTTTGGCAAAAGTTTGATACAGCAAAGATGTGCAAAGAAATAGTTTTGCCATTTTTGTTATGCAGTACAAATCTAGAAAAAGGCTAATCGTGTTCAGGGTCCGTTCTCCATTTTTTCGTGTAAACTCACTGCTTGTCTTATTTTCTGAGTTCTTACAAATGTTGGGCTTTATTTCCTCTGTTACTCACAGACATGCTTTTCTTTGTACCATTAAGTTATAGCTCTAATGCCAAGAAATCTACTTTGCAATTTAATTTTGGCTAACTTGAAGAGGGTCAGTAATTATAGTTACTGTTTCCAGCAAGTTGAGTTTTTCCAGCAGTCTTTCTATGAATAATGTGACTGTGGATTAATTGAACATAAAAATGAGTCAACCACCTTTTTTTTGCCAAAGGCAAACACAGGAGTAGGTGCTAGTAAGGTTTTCAAATCTCTGTTACCTAGGTAATTTGTAGATCTACTGTGAGTTGGTGCTCAAGGAAGTGTAAAACTATTTTAATTTAGTGAGAAAGTTATTGGGGTACAGCTTACTTGTGAAATAGATAGCCATTTTGTGGAAGTGTTTTAATTTTCACTCTTAGAAAAAAGTCAGTGTCAAGGCATTTTTAAAGCCTACTGTCTCCAAGCTTCCTGCCAACAGTGAGCTTGTCATCTCTAAAGCATGGTACCCTGTCTTTTCTCAAGTTATTCTGAATTCAGAGAGGACAGTAAGTTAATGGTTGTTGATTTAAGAATATGCTGACATCACGGATGACATACCTAATGGAATGTCTTCTCTTCTGCCTTGCTGGTTTATGCGCATTCCTTTAGTGTCCTGGAGGGGCTGAGGAGGCAGCAGTGGTGCTCTGCAGCAGCAGGATGACGTATGTCAGTCGTTGCATGGTGTGTGATAGTATTCAGCTGATGCCTCTCTTCTGAAGGATATTTTAGTTCTGCGGTTTCATTAATCACTAAGTTTTCCTAATGCTCAGTAGGCACTTTTTTATAAAAACACCATAGTACTGGTTTAAGGAATGATCTAGAGGGGAGCACTTTGCAAATGTAGCTGAGTTTGTTGTTAGCATGGAAATGTAGTCTTAATCTTAGCTGTCGTTACTGTGCTGTCAGAAACCCTCATGGTTTGCTTATAGCAGAAGTTAGAGTGGTGTTATAGATACAGCTAGGTTGACAAAAATTCTGGTCTTTGATTTGGGACAGTGATGGAAGCCAAATCAGGAAAAGAATGTCAATGTACAAAGCTACCTCTCTTACAATATCTTACTAGGTAGGCCTACCAATACGGCATCATTTGCAAATCCCTTAAGCATAGATGAATCCAGTGCTTCTGATCCTTGTTTCCTACTCGTTTAGCCTTGCATGTGTATTTTATAATCTTTTTACTAATTTTGGAGTTGAACCGTGTATTTAGCTCTAATGGGAAGTGATTGTACTTCAACATTCGAGGCAGCATAGGTAGTTAAATGACTCTATACAGAAGCTAAGCCTGGGGCTCAAATGCATGCATGTAGAAAATTGCTACTCAGAAGGCTTTGCAAGCATGCCTACCCTGTAAGTGCAGGAATTAAGTAGATAGGAGTAAACTGTGTATTCATGTACTCTGGTTGTCATATGGGAGTGCACAGAAAGAAGATAGACTTGAGCCTTCTTGGTGAGGAGCCAGCAGTAAAGGAGTGTATCATAAAGTGAGGGAGGAGAAGGTGGTGAAATCAGGTTCCGTGTGTGTGGAGTCTGCAGAGCTGGAGCTTGCAGTGTGTCAGTAGTAGCACAGCCACTGGTGGTGGTGATGCCAAACTTGTGTGCAACCCTTGGGCTGTAATGCTGTGCCAACAGGTGGTGCTGTTAAAAGAAATATTGCTGCTTTTACGTGTTTCTCCCCTCTCCTCAGGCAGAAAGGACATACAACCATGGAAACTTGTTGTGGGGGAAATCTGTTGGGGGAACGCATTAAGGTCCTTGAATGCATCCAGAGGCAGGCGACAAAGCTGGTGAAAGGGCTAGAAGGAATGTCCTGTGAGGAGTGGCTAAGGACTTTGGACTTGTCTGATTTGGAGAAAAGAAGGCTGAGGGGTGACCTCATTGCTCTCTACAGCTCCCTGGGGAGGGGAGGTGGAGAGGGAGGTGCTGAGCTCTTCTCCCCGGGACCCAGTAATAGGAGATTGGCTCAAAGCTGCACTGGCGGAGGTTTAGACTGGACGTTAGGAAGCATTTCTTTACTGAGAGGGTGGTCAAACACTGGAACAGGCTTCCTGGAGAGGTGTTCAATGCCCCAAGCCTGTCAGTGTTTAAGAGGCCTTTGGACAATGCGTTTAATAACATGCTTTAACTGTTGGTCAGCCCTGATGTGGTCAGGTGGGTGGACGAGGTGATCGCTGTAGGTCCCTTACTGAAATAGTCTATTCTATAAAACAAGCAAACTAAAAAAAAAAAAAAAAAACCCAAAAAAACAAACCCAAACAAACAAAACCAAAAAACAGCAGCCAGTATTTAGGAAAAGTTATAACTGTGGACCAGCTGTATCTATATTCAGAGGTATTCCAATTTTAGGCTGGCTGTTTGTAGTCCTTTTCTCATGATACTTTAAATAGTTTTAAATTGCCTATGTGGAAGTTGAGCAGTGATAACCGGATGTAAAGAGTTAGCGGTCATGGCTGTTTCTGGTTTTACTTATATATGATTTGAGGTTAAATAGAATGTCCAGGACTGCCTGGAAGAGAATCAGAAGAGCGAAGAAAAACCTCCCCTGGTCATTATGGTTTCTTACGGTTGAGCTGGGGTTTTTCCCCTCTTCAGACTCTTTGAGGGGTCTTAACTGGTCCTTCTGGACTTCAGCTCCTGCTTACTGTGGGTCTAGAAGTCCTCTATTTTCAGTAGTAATTTAACAGAATGTTGTCTTTTGTATCTGTCCATGTTGCTTCACTTTCTTGTTCGCTGCCTTCAGTCAGTATTCTTAGGATGAAGTATACCATTGTACAAGATCAAGGCTGTGAAGTCTTTCAACTGAGTAATATCTTTGAGGCTTGTAAAGGTCGCTCTGATTTGCCTTTCATACAATGTTTTCTGGAGAAAACAAGATGGCATAGAGTGTTAATGTTACCTGGTCTTAATGAGTAAACAAATAGTTGGAATTTTTAGAGGGGAAAATAGTTTTGGGTTTTATTTGGGTTTACTTGGATCATCCTCTGTCTGTCACTGAACCTGGCATTGGCTATTATACAAGTAACTCCAAGAGTGTCTAGTTGTTCGTCCATGTTGTTTGCAAACTCTTAATGGACAATTTGAACATTTGTGATTCTGTATCATTGATAAAGTGTCCTATTTTGTTGCATAGCTGTAAACTTCCATAGTGAAGTGCATTGTTCATAAGTGGGAATGGGAGTTCACACATTGAGTCATTGTACCTACTGGTGGTCTTCCTTCATCCCTTACTTCCATAGATAATAGGAAGTGATAGTAAAATTTTAAGAGATGCTGTATTCAGTTGTTTATAATCTTGCTGAACTCTAATCTTTTGGACTGAAATACTTTATGCCTTTTCTTTGCCTCGGGTTTAGTTTTGTTTAAAGTTGTTGGCCAAAATTCTTCATCTGTTTTCAGAAGCAAAACTAAAATAATTGTCTGTGCCTTTTTTTATGGCAGTCTCCTATTTGAAATATTGTAGTACACCTCTGAACTGGAACATCTACTTGAAATTTGCCAGTGTGTGAGATCTGCCTTGAGCTGTAATATTTTAATTTTATGTGAAAATCTGCCAAAATTGAGCCAGTTCTCTTTTTGAAAATTTGTGATCTGGACATGGCAACATTTCTTTGTGGAATTCCCTGGAGACTGCCTGCACTCTGTGTGCTCAGCAGGATTTTTCTTTCAAGTCCATCTCTGGACTGCAGTAAGCTGTGCAGAGCTTAGGAACCAGAATTTTCCCATATTAATTAGGGGGTTGAGTAGGGCCTTATGGCACAAAGCTGGGTGGGAGATCTCTGTGAGACAGCCCTGGCACACATCAGCTCTGGAATCATGAACTCATTCCTCCTCCTCTCCTGTCCCACCAACTCTGCAATACCTCCAGACTCCTACCAGCACCTGTACTTTTGACTGTGACTTTGACTGTGTTAAGACTTTTTTTTTTTAGAGAGGATTAGGAATCCATACTGGTCTAAAGCTTGGCTGCTTCTGTATGTGAACAGATATGTGGCTTCTGAGCATAACAAGGATGCCACTCATCATGCTAATGTGTAACTGTGGGTTGTAGGGAGTGTACTCAGTCACTTCATACGAGTAGGGTATGCACATTTGGTTAGTACAGATTGCTGTGACAGTCATCCAAAGAAGTTCAATCTGATTCTTTACAGACCTTTCCAGATAAAATGTAGAAAGACTACTGAGACAATGAACTTACAGGTTTGTTTGTTTTTTTTTTTTTTCAGGAGTTCCAAACTGGACCAAGTTTGGCTGTACTTCTATAACGATAGCAGAAGGTGGTCCACGCTTCCTGAATTTATAAGATGAGGAGGTACGTTTTTTTTAAGACAGCCAAAATGTAACTTTTTTGGACCTTTTTCCTACAACAACTTCAACTTTGAAGAACTGTTTTAGGGAGCTACCCAGCCTATAAAATTCAGACCAAATCAGAAAGCCACTGAATGTGGTCTGTTAATGGGAAACATTAGATGATGGTAATAAATTATTTAAAACAGGAAAAAAAATTTTGAAAGGCAGATCCCACTGCAGCAGTGTGAACTTCACAGGAAGTTATTACCCAGTTGAGCAGGAGTTTCTTTTCCATGTTTGTTCAGTATAGGAGAAAACAGACAGATTTTGCTGAAAGATGTTCCAGTCTGGCTGCTTATCTTACGAAGGTAAACTTTTTCTTCAAATCATGATGGATTTTAAGGTACCTACAGGTTAGTCCTATATGCCTGTGTGCCACTGATGCCAGTGCTGTCGAAATTTGCAGTCTTTTCTATGATAGACAGTTTTCTCTGTTTTTTCCTTCCCCCTCCTGACTGGTAGACTCCCTTCAGGTTTGGGGGGTGCTTAAGCTGTGGCTAATCATGAGTATCTCAAGAATTTCTTAGTTTTCATTTAAAAATGCATGTTTTCCATCAAGAACTCCTGGACACTATATGACAGTAGCTAGATGTGGAAACTGCCAAGTGTCTCCTAATGATAAATTGGGAAAACTTACATTCCTACGTCAGGAATCAAATTTGTTTTCGTCATGGAGGATGCTTAAGGATCCTAGCTTCCTGAAATCGTTTATTGAACAAGTTGTCCCTGTTGTCTTGAAAATGTTTATGTGGATTGTCTGGTATTTTAAGTAACAGTTGAATTGTCTTTTTGAAAAAATGAAGAAAAATAGTTCTTGTACTTTTGTGTTAACAGTTTTTCCTGTTAGCAGTGTTATGGTTCCTGGATCTTCTGAAATGTACAGTGCTTTTTTCCATGAGTCTTCATGAGTCTTCATCTCAAGGCTTCATTTAATCTTTTTGCTGCACAATTATGACTTTAATAAACATGTTTCCTGGTATAAGGAGGATCTGGTTTAGCATAAAGGAGTGGGGTTTCACAGAAATGGCTAAACCAGTGTTAGCAACTCACTGCTGCTGGTAGAGATGGTTCTTCTCCCTTTTTCTTTAAGACTGTGGAGTTTCTCCTACCCTGAAACTGTCACTTGCAGCAAAAAAATGGTAGGTTAGTTATGGTCTGTTGCCCTCAGGGTGCCCTGGCTGTGGCTAAATTCTCTTAATGAGAACCTAGGAAGACCTGTGCTCTTCTGTTCCTTTTATGCAGGGGTTAGTAAATTATCATCTCAAGCTGATACGGTGAAATAGCATTGGTTATTCACTTTGTCACCATTGTGTGTTGGGGTTTGTTTGGTTTTGTGTGTGTTTTTGTTGGTTTTTTTTAAAATACCTGCTCTCTGACAAGTTCATCATCCAGTGATCATTGCCTGATTTAGGTTTGCTGAGTTTTATATGGTGCTGCAAACTTTTTCTGCATGAAATGCCATCTTCTGGATCATTCATACAACTGAATCTCTGCTTTTACAAATCTGATTAAGGGCAAAAGAGAATTATTAATTTTATTAGTCTTGTGCAGCTGGTAGTGCTGTTGTAAAGATTAATTTTCTAGTCTTTTGCTCTGCTGCATCATCTTGGAGTTCCTGCAGCCTAAAACTTCTTGTATCAGACAGGAGCTCATAGGTACTTAGTGGCGTTCCAATACTGAATGAGCTGTTCTGTGGGGGTATTGGAGTGGTATCACAGGTCAGTGAGTTGCCTTTTTTAGATAAGCCATTTTCCTATTGATTAATAGGAATGCACATTAGCTAACCCATGGATTATTGGTCTGTGACTAGGTCTTGGTGCAACAATCCTTAGCGAAAATTGGAGTCAGCTTTAGGATTAGGTAGACAACATCAAAAAACAAAGCAGTTATATATTTTATTTTCAGAAGCTAGCCAAACATCTACATTTTTCTTAGAAAATTCTCATCCTGTGGGGGCTCACTTACTCAAGATACACAGGTGCTTCTTTTCTAGAATAAGCATTTCAAATGGTTTTGATGTAACTGATTGTATTATGTAAGGCCAAGAAGAAAGGTGTAGCCACATCTTGACAGAAAGTATCACTTCCTTTGTATCTTACTATGCAGTAGGATCTACCTCCCTGAAGGTAAGATAGTACCATAATAATCTAGTTAACACCTCAGTTGTAATGGACTGAGGCAAGATGCTCTTAAGAGGAAAGACAGACCTGATTTTCTTATCAATGATTGTTCAGTCTCTCTAATGTATATCCTGTGCATATAGTCATAGTCTTATTTTTGACAACATGAACAGTTAGATTTTTTTTTTTTTTGCTTGAAGCTTTTATGGTACACCCTGATACTATGTTTTGAATCATGGACATTCCTATTTTGCAAGGCACAAGGAATCTCCTTGGTCCGGAGTAGACACCAAGAATAGAGACCAATAATTTACTCATTAATCATCTTTGTATAAAGGTGCAGAATGCAAAAGGAGAGCAAGTATTGCAAAGAGCTGGATCCTTTACTGTGCTGTCACTCTAAGAAACATTTTTTTTGTTATTGTTAGAGCAGTAACTCTGAATTTAGTAATTTATAATCTCATTACCCTGACTTTTTTCTTTTTAAAGACTGCTAATGGATCTTTGTATTAGTACTGTTTCACATGCCTATCAGTTCAAGAAATGGTACAATTGTTTATATAACATGTTCAATTAAAAACAGGGGAGCATACTCCATGGCTGTTAGGGTGAGTTTATCGTGATACCAGTGGTTTGACTTATCAAGCGGTTCCATTACAATCTTCTTGTTTTCACAAACACTGTAATTCTGCTTATCTCCAATTATTTAAGTTATGGAAATATTCATGCTACTGTACATTGTTGGAATTCTTTACTAGAAAGCTACAAGTAGATCACCTAAAACATAAAACTTGGCAGAGGCATAAAGTCTCTGCTGAGAACTTTGCTTTATAGAAATTCAGTTCTGACTTTTCAATATTTATACTTAAACTGTCTTGCACAAAAAATAAAAATCTTAAGTGATTGATGTAATGTATATATTATATATTATTTTTGTGTATATGTATTTATAATTAGACACTTGTTCAATAATATAAGACTCTGCTAAGCTAGCAAACTGATACTTTTTTTTCCCTTACTCCTAAGAAAAATATCCCTGCTTCCAGGGCTGAACCTTGAAGGCTAATGCTTAATTTATTTTTTTTGCTTGAGTTTTAGTATTGCAAAAAAGTACAAGGGGCAGAATTTCAGAAAGCTTCACATTCACCGAAATCCTGATTCCTAGTAAAAGTCAAAATATGTTGTGTCTTTTCACACTTCTGAAAGTCCCACTTAAGTTCCTCCTGCAGCCTACTTTTAACTAGTTTCCAGATTGCTGGGATTTTTTACTTTTTTTCCCTTTAAAGATGCACTGTCATTTGCTGTGTATCATAAGCTGTTGTTTCACATGCTTACATGTCCAATATACAAAATATCCTGGACAGTCTTAGTTTTTACTTTCTGGAATATTAGTCTGTAATTTTAAAGTTATAGTAATGCCTTTAGCTATTTTTTTGGTGGCATTTGAAAACCAAAATTTCAATTTTGCTGCAATTTAATAATAGTGTTGATGTTGCAGTTGGCAGTGCAGCAGCGTGACCCTCCACAGCAAGGCTTGCTCGCTGAGTGCTCAGTGGCAGAGCTTGCAGGTACTGAACCAGAAAGCACAGGTTCCTTTCAGCTAGAAAGTTGCAGAAAAATGTTTCTGATGGGTATAGTCTAGGATAAAGTTGCTTGTGGATCAAAGTGAAAACATGAAACAGGCTAGACCTACTGGCAGCCTTCCAGCTTCTCCTCCTCCTTTGCAGGGTTTATATTCTTTTACCTACCCCAGCCCAGCCTAGGGAACCAGGTGCTTGCTGCCAATTAGTCTTGTCAGGACAGCCCAGAGCTTCTCTTGACAAGCCTGACTGCTGACAGCAGCTGTGTGGTAGTCTTAGGCAGGATTTTAACTCCTGGCTTGCCAAATACTTTGCAGGTTAAAACCCCTGGTCTCCTTCTGCAGTTATTCAAATGTGCTTCTAGTTTATGAAAACATGTTTTATACAGAAACTGATCTAAGATTGGCAGTGGTGCTATTGTGATAGAGTTTACTTGTCAAACTTCTGGCATGAAAGAATGTAAGTTGGGAGTTAAGTCATTAGGAAGGTCGCTTTATAGATTCATGGATGCTATCAGAACTGTCCATCCCAGGCCACCTTCTGCTTCCTGTAGAGCATCACTGTAGCTGGATAAGACACCAGGCTGGTCCAGCAGTTTTCTCCCCAGTAACTTGAAGTATAATCTCTCTTCAGTATTGCAGTGGCACAAGGGAGTTTGACCAGTTTACATGTCCTCCATCAATATAGTTGTACTATAAATTGTAATTAGATATTTCATTTTTTTAAGCATTACAAGTAATTTATGTTGCTGCAAAGAGCAGCTCATTTTCAGTTGTGGAATTTTCCTGAGTGTTCTTGTCTTTTATGTGTGCGAAGACCTTGCTACTATAAAGTGCTTTGTTCCAGTAATGGTAGTGGTGAACAAAAAATGCAGATGCTATCCATGAAACCTTAGTGTTTTTTTTATTTTCATCAGAAATGGCAAATTTATGAATTGAGCAACTCAATAATGCAGGAGATTGGGTTTTTTTTAAGTGCATGTAGCAATATTTAGTCCTCGGGTTAACACAACTACTTTAATTGTAGTTCCTGAGAAATCAGAGTTTAGGCTGACACCTTTCTCAGTTGTTGTGGTTCTAGAAACTTTGGAGCTTTTGGGTCCATTTCACTCATTTGGAAGATAGGTGGCTGTTTTTAATGTGTTTTGCAAATTGCATGAATAACAATACTGCTTTTTCCTATGTAGTCACTACTGTAGGTAAATCACTAGAGAAAGAAAAATAGAACTTTGTTTTTATCAATTTTAAGAGGTGGCAGCTAGC